CAACCCACAAAATGCTCGTTATACATGATTTGGCTTTTCTCTGTTCTCTTTCCAACATTACAGCGGGAAGCGTGAATGAATTACGTATCACATTATACTTACTATACTTGCATACTTCTATGCTCACACTTATTGCTGCCAAACGAGTTTAGACGCCTTATTTGATAAAACCAGCCAGCTTYGAATTCGCATCGAAATGTGTCGGTAATCAATTTAGATTTTGTATCGCTGTGATACGGCAAATGACGACATTTTAAACCAATCACAGTGCAGTAGATCCCTCCTCATCCAATGAAAATGCTCAAACACGGTACCGTTACAGTCACGGCACGTCACGACACGTATGTACCGCGTGACCATTAATTTTTCTCACATGTATGTGATGTTTCTCGCCACCGCTCCAGGCCTGTTTTTTTGAAAAAGGCCCCGAAATTGTCGTAAAKTTTTGAATCAGTAACCTGAATTTTTCGAAAACGGTCTCCAGAGWGGAAATTTTCGAATACGCTCCGAATACAGATACGTGTGGACGGTAGTATCCGCAAATTTTCGAATACGCTGACGTAAACACGATTCTGCGCATGCTCAATAARAAAAACTATCCGTCAAATAGACTAGGCACTAGCGTGCATCAGGGCGGATCATGAAATTTCCGGATGCGTGTGGACGCAACCCGTATCCGAAAAAAAAAAATTGCGGGTACAAAACTTTCCGGATAGGTGTAAAGGGGGCCTAAGCCCGCGAGAGAACAGGACCGGCTATCCAACTGCAACTGAGCATGCGTAAGCRTAACGGAATCCAATACAGAAATATGAGGTCAAATCAGTTGATTCTCTAATAGTATCTGCTGTCAAAAAAGATGGACAGAATCTCCGAAAAACTGATCCCATGTGAGATCAAGTCTTAAAATAGATAAAAATAATTAAAATGATGAAATAGGCCTTATGTTGAAAGGGTTACACTTAACAGTTATACGTTAGAACCTATAAACTCATTGCTCTATTTTTGATGTTTACAGAAGAGACGGGGCCGCCATTTATGGGCATCCTACTAGCCACGTTGAACATCTATTCTATTTTTATAGAGCTGTCTTTTYGTAAGACAGCTTTTTCTCCTCCGTAACTTATTAAATATTGTTGTTTCTGCAAGGTTTGCTCCCATGGTCTCTCGCACAACACATGACTGACTGTCGGGAGAAATTAAATAGATAGAATTTGAATGACAGCGGTCAAAAAATATATAATAAGAATTTCAAACTGAAATATCAACTGAATAAAAAAKTAATCTTTTCTGTTATTATCAAAGCTGCTTCGTCTAATGCATTTTTCGTGGTTTGATTAAGGTTCATTCAACCATCATGCAATAAGTGTGATGATCTACTTTTTGATTGATGTCATATTAAATAGACCCTTTACACTGGCAATTTTTTTTGGCGATTTTTGCCTCAATTTTTGTCGCGATTTTCAAAAATATATATAATAAATTTCTTCTTGTCGTTCTAGTTATTTGACATTTGTACAGSTAATCTTGCTGTAAACAATAGAACTTTATAAGTTTTAAAATCCAACCTTTCTTGATTATATTCAAAATCGACGCAAAAATCGCCGAAAAWATCGCCAGTGTTATCGAGGCATGTATGAAACCATCTCTTAAAAATCTCGAGCTCCGATTGACTGGCCAACTGAGTATTCTCGAAAGTTAACAGTAACCGTGGACATGTATCTGGTTATTTAAGGAGTCTACTAAATATGAATGCTTGCGGTAACCGTTTGTGAAAGAAGAATTAAGGGGAAGAATTTCTACAATGATATGAAACCTTGTTCCAAAAATAGAGAAACGCTGCGATATACAAATAATATTGTGTAACATAGTGTCGTTTCTCTCTAGTCCAGTCCTGACACGGTTCAAGATTACCTAACATGATGCAACCTTTAAAATATGTCAGCTTTCTCCGAGTGACAAAATTATTGAATAAWTAAACAAATTGAAAAATCTTAACTGGTTCATCTAAGGGAGTAAGATTTTTTAGCTTTATCTCGTAGGGAAAGAGCAAAATTACGGTAAGTTTGAATGCTTTTTTAATATATAAATCGTTTTGAAGAAACAACAGTTATTAGACATACAACAGGTTAAAAGAGACTGTTGTGAATTCGATTTTTAAGGGTTTAAAATCTCATGTTAAAAGTAAGTGGTTTGTTCTTGCTGATGATGAAGCTTGGACTCTGTGGGATCGTCGTAAATTTTTTGATTTTCAAACTGTCTTAAATGTTTGTATGGGTTTTTAAGCCTTGTATATAAGAAGGAATTTCACATTTATATCTGAACTGGTTTCTGTCATTGTGGTTGGTTGTCCGTGAGTTAGATATAGTAAAGGTTATATTTTTTTAGTAAAGTTGGAAATTTATTTCTATCCTTCAATCTTTGTATCCCAAGATTTAGAAGGAAATACACTTATATTTCTATATCAATTAACAGATTTCATGAAAATATGCTTAGGTTTTTAGTATTCGTGGTTGGGACATCAAGGTGAAAATGGAAGGTTAAGATCAACCTGTTGAGGTTTCACAAAAAATCAWCAGCGGTTCAATCAACCATGTCATGGCATGTAAACACACACACGAGTAAAAATACGAATGCAGAGAGATCAATAAGAAATAGAAAAAATATCGAAGAAACAAAGGAGAAGAAAAACTTCGATTAAATGAATAAATGAAAGAAAAGGCTCTTTAATTTGACTATAAACTTGTAAATTTAAACATTAATCAAAAGACGAAAGGAGAACTTCTATATTTTTTTGAGCAAATCTTACGATGAACTTATTATTATTCAAGAGCAGACTTTTGTAACTCAATATATTGACTGCGGGTTATGTAAAAATATGATGGACAAAGGTATTCAATCTTAGCCATATTAACTACCTGCAATCCAAATACCAATATAAAATCACCAAAAGAAAAAATAATAATTGCCGATTTAAATCAATCAAGATTTTCATAATTTTAGATGTTAAAATAAACCCTAAGGATCGATCTTTAGCAAAGGTTAAATTTTGTTTTCACTAATTTTATCTTCAGATTAAATACTTTTCTTTCAAAAAGTCTGAAGCGCCCGAAATCCCCCTCCCCCCCCCCCTCTTGTATCGTAACGTCGCGCATTCATTGCTTTTTGATAACTAAGTAAACTATGGAATGGCTTTCAATAATTTCTTTGGAATTGGAATTGGAATAACTGATGASTGTGGCATATAGGTTCATAGAGTGCAAATAATATAACCGTGAAATAGATAGCTAGCTAACTAATTACTAAACTACTGAACCAATATTTTATTGTACATACTTTTCCTTCGTATAATTTTACATATTGAGTTGTCACTCTGGTAAACGCCCGTGCCCTTGTCATGCCTCGTTGAATTCCTATGTCTTGTCTAATTAAGCGCTGACTATCTCCTATTTTATATCAGCTATTTCACGGGTATATTATTTGCTCTCTATAGCTGTGGTTTAGCAGTATTCTAAGTCTGTACTGGTTCCAACTWTGACAGTTGTTAGTGATGTTAGTATGCGCTCTTTCATTCCAGCAGTGGTGAAATGATTCATATTTGCTTGTATTCTTAGTTGGAACAAAGATGAAGATTTGCATCGTGTTCTGCCTGGTTTGGGCTGCTGCAGCAGTTCAATCTGATCGAGGTAAGAGTGTTGCCTGTCTTCCTTTCGCTATTTAGTTTACTGCCATTCATTATGAAGGAGACGTCCAAAACCAACCCATCGTGTAGTGAAACAAAATAAAAA